TGAAAAAAATTAGATTTGTTTAATTTGCATGATACAATGATCCAAGGGACATTTTAACTATCAAGTCCCATATATGTGTATAATCATGATAAGCTGGGATGTTCATTTACATAGTTCAAAAGAGTGTACATAAAATAGAGTTGCCAATCCTCACTTAAACCTATTTGAAAAGAATAAAAGAATTGTAGGAACCTGATAATGGCAGATATAGGTGGATAATTTAAGTAACATAAAGTTTGCATGGACAAATACAAGACTAGTACTTTAAACATTATGAACAAACTAACACATTTTACAAGTTATTTTTTACCTTTCAAACAAAGATCACTAACATGTACTAACTAAATCAGATGATTCAATGTGGCATGTGAATAATAATGTTGAATTGTTTCAGTTAATAAACATGCTTTTGTGTTTTTGTTGCCATCCATAATACTGTTACACTGTGAATGGGTTCAAAGTGGCATTGAATGTATCAATGACAAATATCAATGCCACATATATAGCACTGACCTCTCCTTCCACAAAATTATCACCATTTTCTGTATGCTATATGGATGAAGTAATAATAAATAAGATACATTAAAAATGATAAAATGAACATTAACTTTGATAAGATTTTAACATCTTATCAAAATCTAGATTGAAACATAAATATAATTTGCATGATACACAAATTTTCCAGGAATATATATACCAGTTAATTTTTGTGTTTATCATTTACAAAACATTAGTGGCCAAAATAATGACCAAGCTTGGTAATATCTAATATCTTTCAATGGATGTCTATCTATTCATGAATTTAACACTTTTGACTAGTAACACATTGGTTATACTAGTTCATTAAATAGAAGAAAACCCTAGGGATTAAATCATCCAATATACATTTATAATTCATATACAGTCTATCTATTAAAGTCACCAAAGATTAGACAACCAAAAATGATTGACAGAAAAATAACACACAATCAATATAATATAATGAATTTAGTGTCAGCTGTCTCTCTTTTTTTTTTTACTTAATGCACTCTTACACTAATGTTAACTTGAATCCAGCATTTTTAAATTTACAGTACTGTATGCCAATGTGATTAAAATAGAAATCAACATTTTGTTTTTAATTATTTTATACTTTTGATCCGATAGGTTTTTGAGGGGAGTGATTTTGTGGTTCATATAGGGGCACTTTGGATGAATGACAGACTATTTGTATTTAACTTTTGTTTCATTTCGTTCTCTGCTGCTCTAAAGATGTCTCCCATAATTCCAAGTATACCTTGCATAATAATAGCTGGACTAAACCGATAATTTCATTGGATAATATGTCACATTATACAGAAAGCTGTCTATTTGATGTTCACTTGACACAACATAGGTCATTTCAGGACTAACATATGGTTCAGTTTTATTTCAACAATTTGATTGCACATAGGGGTCTTTAGCAGTGGGAGGAACCCACGAGGTTGGCAAAACTAAATGGGATGATAGGTGGTTTAAACAGACTAACTGTATGTGAAATATATAACACAATTAATATTTATATTTCTTGTGCAGAATGGTAAAGAAAACATTGTAATATTACAGAGATTGACTGGAGGTCTAGAAAAAATTGAACTTATTTGCTGTCAAGAAATGATAGGACAAAAATTTAAAAAAAAATGGTTAATGATAACATAATCACACACCATTCTTCATTTAGTTTTGAATTTAGTACAAACAATTGAGGGCTTTCCATTATGCAACTGTATTACATTGTTTGGAAAGGATGGACGTAATAATGCAAAATTACCAGGCACGCTTTGGTGTGTGCGTGTCTGAGGGGGGTATCTAGGGCCCGAAATAGTCGGAAATGGCAGCTACAGCATTGCATTTTTCCAAATTTTCAAGGGTAGGCTACCCAGACCGCACGTTGTGTGCTTTTCCCACCCTGCACTCGCATATTGTCACTACAACACTTCAATATGGAGGTTTGAAATTTCTGGACCCCTCTCACCCCGCCGTCTGAAAATCCGTGATATGTCCCTGTTTACTATTAATACTTTAAATTCCTTACAGCTTTAAATATAGTTTAAAGGGCCAATCCCGATAATATTTTGGAGAATTAAACTGCTGAATTTTGTGTTAAAATCCTTTAAAATTCTCTACCTTAGGGCCGAGCAACTAACTCAATATATGTAGTACGTTTTCAAAGAACTTAAACCCGCCAGTCTTTATCTGGAAATGGAGACCGATGTCCCAAGCTTGTATTATGCAGTGTCTGGATAAAACCAGACTTTTTTTTATAAAAATAATGTGTAGGTGAAATTTACCTTTCGTTATGAAGTACAGCACATGGGTCATTCATTGTAGAGACCTCTAATAGAACGGGGGTTGATTATCAGGTCACCCAACGAAAAAATTGACCCAAAATCTAATCCAAACAACTCAATATTTTGAGCTGATATATTGAGACAAGGTAAATACACAATTCCTCTATATTTTGGCGCTTCAATTTCATACGTACTAAGACATTTATTGTTGAGACTCTGTTCAAATCGTGGGGTTGGATGGCCGAATGGTTAGCATGTGCGTGCTGTATCATAAAGCCTGTCATTGAGTCAACTGGCGTGGTTTCGAATCTAAGGTTGTACGTGGGTTTTCTCCGGGTCCTCTGGTTTCCTCCCACTGCTTAAGACCCCTACGCGCAAGCGAATTATTGAAATAAATTTTTTTTTTTTAAAAAACATGTTAGTCCCGAAATGACCTAGTTTGTGTCGAGTGGACGTTAAACCCCATTTCTCTCTCTCTCTCTGTTCAAATCGGGATAGTCCCTTTAACACAAAACATAACCAAAAGTACTTCTATTTATCGTTTTGGTCCAAACAAATTTCAGATTAGTCAATTTATGGCCATTTAAGTTTAGATTTGTTTCTATTGATTTCACACTGCCATCTTCATCTCTCTTAAAGATATATGGGAGATTAGATAAAGAGCTGGCAGTACTCACTATAATAGTTAAAAACTAGATAATGTAAAGGGAATTTGCTGAAAATTTCAGTCAAACTGCTCCATTCTGAACCGAGAATTTAGCAATTGAATTTTGGGCCTAGCCTCGATCATCATTACTAAAGTCGGTACGATAAAAAACATAGTCTCGATTATCCATTTTTTAAATTTAATCATGAATGAGCGTTGAGCAGCAGATTGGATTATAATCCAGTAAATATCGCAGGCTAGCGATGACATCGAGAGTTGATTATGATCTGGATAAGTTAATTAATGTCTAATTAATAATTTAGATAACATTTCAGGCCTAAAGAAAGACCTGCAATTGGCAGATTTAGCTCTCGCATAATGTATTTTTAAGACAAATATACTACTAATAATTACGTTATCTTTTTTATAAAAGTCAGTCTATTCTTCACGAATGTCTTTTTATACTCATGTGGTTATAGTGCTTATTTTTTACTTTTAAAATGTATCTTAACAATCTGGTACAATAACATGCTTGGTATCAATAACATGTAGATTTAAACCTGACAGAAAAAAGTAATCACGGATGTAAGCAAAAACTATATAGGTAAGAGTTCACATGCATTGCACATGCTGCAAGTTGGCTGATCGGTGAAAATAACATCATCTCCAGGCATTATACAGTAACTAGGGAATGAAACTACCCTACTTCACCTAAGGAGAAACTGATTTGAGACTCACTTACTCCCCTAGGACCTTTTGATCACAAAAATACTTAATAATGTCTTATGTTATCTTTTCACATGTTTAAATAAAAATTAATTAATATCTGTGTAGACAATGAAAAATACCAAGGATCTAAGATTAATAATAATCCTCTTATAGCTTCACATCTCCATACCTAATAACATCAAACCTGCCTCCATTCACATTACAGACACTACTGAGTAGACCTACTTATTGATTGAGTCCTGTATCGACAAGTTTTGTTCCCATAACTTTCTTCTTGGCAGAATTGGGTTTTTTTGGTTTATTTTTTTAAAAACTTTTAAGGGCAGAAAGGGGTGGGTTTAGCCTGTGTAATACATTAATATCTGAAAATTTCCCTTGTTGATCTATACAAAGTATTGATCCACTTTATTAATCACATAATATTGAAATGTCTCATTTTCTCCTTAAAATGACTAATAGATGGTTAGATCTAATTTATAATTGAATAGTAAATACTCAATTTAATAAGAATAACATAATTTATATACCAATATAAATGTTTCAGGCTACAATAAATGTAGATATAATATTGTTGTAAAAGCATATTATGCAGCATTAGAACTAATCTAAAGACCTATAATACTAACAGTACAAATTCTTAGAAATTAGTTACAGTATAGAGAGTTAAGTCTGTTTTGATTATTAAATTAAAGTTCTGCAAAGTACAGTGTAAATCTCATGGGGGGGGGGGGAGATATCATTGCAATTTCAAGTGTATCTCTGGGAGTGAAATATCAATAATTCACCCAATAATTTTTTTTATAATTTTGAAATTTGGAACACTACCTATAAGAATATTTGGATATAGATCGAATTAAAAAAGAATAAAGTGTCTATCAATGAGTTGATAAGTAACTTATATTAATTGTCAGGTGTTATTTAAACCCTATTTATTATCTGGCATTATAGCCCCTATTACATGTACAAAATTAGATTATATTCAAACATGGTCTATACTTACTTCAATAAAATATGTTATTATTCAATAACAGTAAGTCATGCTTGATCAAGCACAAATAATCTAGCTTATATATCAAATAATACAGTATTAATAACTGAAGTAAACTAACCATTATGAATTGGGGTCTTAATATAAATATTTACAAAGTCAAGTGAATGAAAAGGCGCATTTGACGTAAATATATGATAACCAAAAAACAAATGTTAAAGAAATCATTAATGCTTTGCAGACAAGCAATCACTACTGTAGGTAATGAATAATTCAGTAAGGAAACCATGTTAATTAAATAAAATTGATTATTAAAAAAAGAGCTTACCTTCACAGATTTCTCATTTTCAACACCGTTGCTATTCTCTACGCCACCTTTAGTTTCATCCTCAACTTCATCATCAATTATTGCGGTTTCCATAATAATAGGTATATCGCCGTTAGCATGTGAAGCCATGAATAGGTCGGATCCCGCAGCCGATAAGCCGCAAATCTTGTGAGTTAAAACTTATAGCGATCAACCGGCTATCAGCAGGTCACAAATTTATCTGCTAACAGAATATCCCTGCCCTAGCTCATGTAACCCCGAATCGCAGTAACATGCTAGATTGATACCGTAGATATCGTCGTTAGAAAAGTCACACACAAGAATAACAATATCTCAAGACTACTATTAGTTGCAGGTACAACATTCTCACTGCCAATCACTTGGCACACTGGATTATATTCCCCGTTTGCTAGCCACGTGGTCGAAGCTTGGATTAAGCGCGGTTTGCCGTTTTACGCAATACTGTTCTGTTAAAAAAAAAAAAACAAAAAAAAAAACGACATGGAAGTGAATCGTTCAGGAATATGTCGATATGTATCACCTGACTGTACAGCTCGATTGCATAGGAATGGTCACGTAAACCCTTAATCCCATTCGTGACGAAATCTATTATAACACCTATATATCAATACATGAAAAACGACCAAACAAATAAGTTTTATTTTAGTCATCTTCTCTCCTACCCGTGTAACTAATTCCTCTTCAACTTTAATTGATCATGTTATTCAATATTGTATCTTCTCCAACTCATGTCATAGAAACTGAAATCCCGTGTTATTCTATCTCAGACCATTTCCTCACATGTATTACATGGTCAAAGTAAGGTGTAAAAATTCCTAAAACTAGCCATATATAGGTCTCCTATAGATTTTTCAGAAATTTCAGTGACGAAAACTATATTCGCGATATATACTGAGCGCCATTGAAAACGCATCACTTAGTTTTTCGTATAACAAAATGATCCTGTAAACATATCTTATTTATTTTGCTTCTTATTGTGAACAATATTCAAATGGGAACACATCAATAACAACACATTTGTACACTTATGGATGTTTAATCTGTAATCAAGGGTACAAGATCAGAGGTGTCAAAACCAAAAGTACGACACAGATGTCAGTAGCGCGTGTGTCCTCCACGGGCCATCATCACGGTAGGCTGCAGCATTAACGCGACCTCTGCAAATGTGTAGGGCGGTCCGGTGATGAAATGTGAAGTCTCCCAACACCATTACACTTCCCCCACCCCATCGATCCGTTTCGAAGACGCAGCAGTCTGCAAGACGTTCCCCAAGACGTCTCCACACACGTTGACGGCCATCAGCGTGATAAAGATGAAAGCGACTCTCATCACTGAAGAGCACACTTTGCCAGTCTACTCTTCTCCATGTCTGGTGTCCTTGAGCCTATATCAAACGCCGCTGACGGTGATGATCCCTGGGGATAGCTCCAACATAAGGTCGTCGTGCACTGAGTCCTACTTCTCTTAGACGACGTCTTACGGTGTTGGCACTTACTGGTCCTTGTCTTCCGACGACTGCTGCACCTGTTCGAGTCGCTGGGCGGAATCTGTCACGCAGATGAGTGACCCGGATGTAGCGGTCTTGAGCCTGGGTTGTAACGCGTTGTGGACCAGGACGTTGACGGTCACGTGTTGATCCAGTAACTCGAACACGTTCCACCAACCTTACAATAGTAGACGGATGACAATTGAAGTGTCTGGCAATAGCACGTGTAGACATGCCAGCCCTGGACATTCCAATGGCTTCATTCCGTTGATTTTCAGTAAGTCTCGGCATCTCTAGCTCGATTCCTTCACACGTCCAACAACAAATTACGACATATTGACGTTTCACAGTTCATGTACTGCGCATTAAGTTGAAAACATGCTTTTAAAGGGCTCACACACAATACGCACGTGAATATTGGGTTTTTCATGTGCATCTCGTGCAATTTTTTTTTTTTGCACACGGGCCAATATTTTTTGTATTTGGGAGCATTGTGTGAAACAATAGTTCATAGTATTGCATAATATTATACATACAAAACCACCTAGTAATAAAATATTTGAGAAAAAAATGTGATGCGTTTTCTATGGCTCTCAGTATATAAGTCAAATTAATTTCGAAGAAGTCTATCTTGCAAATACCTCTCCAGACGTTCTTACAGCTTGGTATAATCTTGTTACCCCAATAATTAATCAACATACCCCCATAAGAACTAGACGGGTTAAAACAGCTGTAAAACCACAATGGCCAACTAATGAAATATTAAGATTAAGGAAAGAACACGATTTTCATAAGAGAAACAAAAATGAAACAGAATTCAAAAGATGTGGCAATAGTTTAAAAGCCATGATTAGAAAAACCAAATCAAAATATCTTCAAAATCTCGCTGGTGATGGTAAAATCCCGAACGAGTATGGGATGCAGTATGGATGATTCCAATTGATAGCAATATCCTTAACAGCTTTTTCTCTGAAATCCCCGATAAAATACTTCACTCGAACAATGGTGACGTGACAGATTCATTATCTTACGACAATAATCTGTTAAAAGAGCACATAGATTCAAAAGTACCGACAAATGCATCTTTCCATATTCCCTTCAATAATGTATCTTTTGTGAAAGAGTCTCTTCAGTAATTTCACTTTTTCTTCGGTTTGGTGCAGATCATCTTTCCCAAAACCTTACCCATGCCTTCAACCTATCAATAAATTACAATACCTATCCTTCGTCATTTAAACAAGCTAGGGTTATTCCAATTCTCAAAGTTGGAGCTAAGGATGACCCAAATAACTATAGGTCTATATCTATTCTCTGAACTGTATCACAAGACCTCGAAATACATATTCACGGACATCTTAGTCAGTATTTAAATAAATATCACCTTTTATATATGAATCAGTCAGGTTTAAATTTTCTCAAAATGCATTACAATTCTTAGAATCCTACTGAAAAAACAGAATCCAGGTACTTACTATGGCGTACCTCGAGGATCGATAATAGGACCCCTCTTGTTCAATATTTTCATTAATGACTTGCCATTAAATCTCTTCCAAAACTGACCTCTTTGCTGACGATGCGAAAGCCTACCTCTGGTCCAACGGTTGAAGTTCTCCAAACAAAACTACAGCTTGATGCCGACAGAATACAAGCCTGGTGTAACAAAAACGGAACGAAACATACTATAACAAAAACGAGAGAAATGCTCTTTACAACCCACCAAAAAAGAAATTTTCTCCCCACTACTCTTGACATAAACTCGACAATGAATCAACAGAAGTAGTCTCATCCTTTGAACTTTAGGTGTCGTTTTAAATCATAATTTAACGTGGAAAGACCATATTCCATACATCTCTAAAAAATTAAATCAGTAATTTTTCCTTCTCCGAAAGATTAAACAATATCCCCCGCTCTCCTACCGCACTCTTTTTTTTACAATGCTCATATTCAGACAGATTTTGATTACTGTTCTCCAATCTGGGACTCATGTGACTCCAAATTTCTTGAATGTCTTTCTAGGCGACAAATCATGGCTTTAAAACTACTGCTTAATGTCGATCATATCGCTGAATTGTACCCGACAATAAACACCTTAAAACTTTTAACAATAAAAAACCGTCATGCCTACAACTTATGTAATTTTATTTCCAGAATTTTATCTAAACATTGTCCTAATTATCTGTTCAATCTTTTGTCTTTCTATGAAACTTCCTACACCATCATTAACAACATACTAATCACTCTGGGACCAAAGCTTAATATTGTAAAAAAGAAAACAGCATCCGTTTTGGAGGCTCAAACCTATGGAATTCTTTACCATCTTATTTAAAACTGGCCATTAACTTAAATTCTTTCAAGAAACCACTTTTTATATATCTTACTGTCAAATAATCGGGTACTCTCTATGCCCATATATAAAAATAGTGTATAGGTAATTTTTCGTTGTTTCACATTTTTAGCTATTGTAAAGTATATGTTTTATTATGTGTTATTATCTTTCTCTCTCTCTCTCTCTCTCTCTCTCTCTCTTTTGGTGCTGTCATCTTTTGTATTATAATTTCATTTTGATTATATTATACTCTTGTTCATCCTTCACTTTTATTTGTATTTTATACCCATACTTTTTCTCGACTCTTTGATGAAAATGGGAGGGTATACACCGATACACGGCCACTTTTCACGGCCACTAGTTCTCGGTTTTTCGTCCAGTCCGAACGACTATACGCAAAGGCGTAGCCGTGAAATATATATTAGGTGGGGGGGGGGGTCCGCAACCCTAACCCCTAACCCTTTTTTAAAACCCCTAAAAAATATAAACAAATCATTATGGTTACGTGGCTGGCTGAGCGGGCGATAAATATTTGGCTTAGGCGATAATGTTTTTGGTTACCTACATGCGATTATCATCATCCCAAACTTAGGCTGCCTATCTACAGCTAGCTCCGGCTGAGAATAGATCATTCTGGGAAGTATGACGTAGATGGGTCGCTGCGTGCAGTATGGATTATCATGGCAGAAAAAAATTAACAAATTATTACTGACAGGCTAACTAGACACAATTTTATGGACCACAGTTACTTTTCACTTGACACATGTTACCAGGATGATTCTCTCTGTCTTTTATTTTAGCAATGTAAACCATATTGGGATATGTACATGTTTTATACAGATAGAATCTTAATTAATCCTAATAATTGTTGTAAATAAATAGGAGTTAGGGCCTACTATGGACATTTGGGGGGGGGGGGGTCCAAGTATAATCAGACCCCCCCCCCCCCGACCCCCCCCCCCCCTTGTGTGACGCCCATGACTATACGATGTCCTTGCCTGGTCCTCCGTTCTGTACCACTGACAAAGGGGTCCGCGTCAAAACTCTACAAAGAACTTTCTCGGCGAACACAAGGAGCGACCCAAGACCTCTGGGTTAGTGAGCCAGCGTCTTATTCACTGAGCTTCCGCGGCTCCCAGCTTAGATAATAGATATTATAATTTACAGAGCGTTAGACCACTAAGTCTTGGTCTCCCAACATTCCGTCATGGCATTATGACAGAAGGGCCCTTGAAGAGACAACATTCTGGTCAAATAAGTATTCAAATCGGTGAATTATAACTAAAATCGGTAGCTTCTATATATTCCACATTTAGTTACTATCTAACAAAATAACACTACTCAGCTCTTATATTTTGTTTAATATAGTGAAATGCCGTCATGTTGCCCGTTTAATTATTATTTTTTTTAAAACAACTAATGAAAAAGGAGAACATAAATGCTACTAGTGAGACCAATCAATGATAGATTCGCGCGTATTTACGACAGAATTTGATATTTTAACTTTATGAGCGAGTTGACAGGGGTCAAGGTATATACAGAACAAACAAATTTATCATTGAATAAATTCAACCAAATATTTGAATTTAAAACCTTGTGATTGCTCCAGGAGTGTACAGCAAATACGGCGACGATTTTTGTTTGTGCTAGTAAAGTACGGGCGATAGATTTAATATGGCTATAAATATGTCAATAGTCGAACCAAAGAAAGTATTAATGGCACATCTTGTCTTCAACTTCTCTATGTAATAAGTTTGAAAAAAGTCAACTTGATAATCAATTCCATGGCTGCAGGTCACCAATGACTATGAAGGCAAGTGCACACCAGGATGGGAAACCGCAGGGCGGAGGTGGGGGGGGGGGGCACTTGGTGCACACCACGCAGGATATTTGGCTAGTTGGTTAGTGTGTGAGAGGGGAGGGCAGTAGCGGATTATAGCAGAGTGACCACCAGCCTCCGACACGAATTTAACGCGATATCCCTTTAAGCAGGGCCCCAGACACTAGTTGGTTAGTGTGTGAGAGTCGAGGGCAGTAGCGGATTATAGCGGAGTGACCACCTACCTCCGACACGAAGTTAACGCGATATCCCTTTAAGCAGGGCCCCAGACACTAGTTGGTTAGTGTGTGAGAGGGGAGGGTAGTAGCGGATTATAGCGGAGTGACCACCTGCCTCCGACACGAATTTAACGCGATATCCGCGGGGGGTGGGGCAGGGCTCCCTTTAAGCAGAGCCCCAGACACCAGTGCCATCGCCCCTGGGTTCAGTGGAAGGGTCCCCTAGACCGACAAAAGGACCACTTTAATGTCAATGCAAGGAGCCGCGAGTCCTGTGGAAGGGCACTGGATCTACGAAAAGAGCCTCCGAGTCCAACAAAAGGACCCCATATGGAAGGGCCACCGAGTTCAGTGGAAGGGCCCCCGAGCCCGACACAAAGTGTCCATTTGACTTTAGTACTAAATCACATGTGTAATGAGCCATGTACGCCGTACCCTTCTTCATTAGCACAGTTGGTACATAAAAGGAGAGCAATCAACCCTTTTCATTTCATTTCACAAAGCGCAAATACGGACCTTATTTGGTTGTGGTGCGCTCAATTTTTGTTTGGGAAAGTCAGTCATTTTTCTTTTGTCAATGGGTGATTTATTCGTTACACTGCAGAACTACAGTCCAGCTAGAATTCTCGATCTGCATCGAAACGCACAGAAAAAATTGTATAGCATGAAAAAATGTCCATGAGAATTTCATCTTTGCATACACTTTTGCCGATCTGAAAATGTCAAATCAAAAGTACAAGCTTCATGACGCCGACATTGTTTTTAGTCAGATTTGGGTAACGTAATAACAGTTCCAGGTCGTATCTAGAAAAGGGCTCTAAATCTCTTTTCTTAGTGGCGATGTAATTTTCTCAATATTCTAGAGAAGGGTCCCATCATGATGGGCCCTGTAGACCGGGCCGCCTCCGACGATCTGCCATTCAATATTATTCACCGTCTCATAATTAGTGATGTTATATACCCCATAACCGTGATGACTCGAGGAAAGTCTTGCCAAAAAATAAATGTATGGTTTGAATAGACCTACGCCTACCACTATTTTTTTTATCTCGTAACTTCCGTTGGCGCAGACGGTCAACTTTTCGTCGCTTGTTGCTGCAATAGGCAACTACTGGCAACTCCGAGCAATTGGCAACTCGAGGTCTCCCGTGTGCGCTGACTGGCAACGAGAAGCAATTTTTCCCCGGATGTATCCGGAATGCCGATATCACGTGATCATTCAAAATGGCGCCGTACATACAACAATTACATATATCACATGACAGTAGAGCGCTCGCTGATTGGACAGTTAAACGGTAAATCCAACGGACGCCTGACACGTCTGAATGTGTTCTTATTAGAACAGTTTGCGTTGAAATGTGAACACGTTAATGTTCACATATGAACACCGCAGTTCTAAAACGTATGCAAATCCTTAAAATCCGTTCAAAATTGAACACATTGTGTTCTTTTTCTTTCAGTGGTCTTTGAAATCGTTCACACTTAGAACACAACGGACGCAGAAGACCAGTAAGGAACGCATGGTGTTCAGTGGGTGTTCATACCGGAACATCAAGTTGGACACCATGTGTTCAAGTTCAACATCGGACATGCGCACGACGCATCACGTGATGCGTTTAATTTTTTTAAAATCGCCATTTGCAGGACGCTGGTTTGACTTTAAGGCTCTGACTGTTTCAACAACGGTTATTTAAGGTAAAGTATTGTTGTTGTTTTTTCTAATAAGGTAGATAAGTTGTTTCAAAAGTAACAGGGAAACTTAGATATATGAATTTGGAAGTAGAAATATGAATTTAGGTTATGTTGCTAGATTAACAATCTAGCCCTGTATAAACTACTAGGCCTGGCCCTAGACCTGTGTTCCCAAATCAACTCGTAAACCCTCGTCAAGCATATTAATTTGTGTTAATACATTATTTCCTCTTATCAAAAAGCACATGTATTAGAAATTTTTGGTCGAATTTGACAAATTATTTTCTCCTTCCATTTGTTTGAACACATGGTGTTCCTTATAGAACACATTCTGTTATATACAGAACACATTCTGTTACGTATACAGAACACTGTATGCAAAATTAATAATAATCTGACCTTGGGGATTAACTTCATACTTTTCTGCACCAACCGGGCCATGGAAGACGCGACAGATAAGGAAGGTATAAGAGACGCAATCGATTGTCCACATCTATGATTTTCAATATATTGATGTCTATATATACAAAAATATTACTGTATTAAGCCATTTTTCGATAGAATATTTTTATCTAGTAGAATGGTCTATTTAACCGTCTTTATTAGCCCAGTCGGAGCAGATAAGTAGGCCGTTAAAACTCTCTATTATAATAATTAGCCTAGTTATCTTGTTTTTTCCTTAATATAATAGTGCACGGTAACAGAAGATGACGAAAAAATAAAATTTGTACAAGCCGCCGAATGGACTGCACAGTCTTCTAGAAAAGAATTATGTTGTTGCAGATTCGTTCAAACGGTAAGTTCATATGCTCAGGTATTATATCCATTTATTAAAACATAGTTTACACTTTACACATAGTTTACACCCCCAATATATATCTCATACCGGTTTCCTGGGTTTTAATTGGTGTTAATATTTCTATTGCAGGTGGGGAAATGAAATGGAGTTTATCTTCCTAGGCTCATGAAGACGAACAAGCATCACGTGTGCAATGAGGGAAATTTTACCCAGACGGTGGCTTTTCCGCCTACTCTTGCCAAGAGTTATAGGTGCGCGCCAAGGCCCATCCTAACGACTAGATGGTGTGCAGGCGAAGAGAGAAGAACGAAAAGTAAACGTAGAACTAGAAGACAGAATAAGTTTACCACAGATAACTTTTTACTTGCTAATAATATTACATTAAGATTCGGATATTATTATAATAGGTGAATCTTTTTAATTGGGCATAGAAGAATATCGACGCAAACAATGTTTTGTCACATTATCTCTTCCCATGTTGTATTATAAAATTAAGGAAATAAAATAAATTTGTAAACTATGTTCAAATTGTTTTTAAATTGTGCGATGCTTTTATCATACGAAATAATATATCATTTGAGTCTATTTTAACCATTTTTTTAAAAATGTTTGTTAAAATTTCAGAGTCTTTCACAACAGAACATCCGGTGTCTGCTTAGAACGCCTGGTTCCCTGTGTGTGAAATTCTGAACGAACGGTGTTCAAAATATGATCACCGAACACCTTTTAGTTTTCTTTATTTATTTCATGCAGTTGAACACCTTATTGTATTCTAAAAAGAACACGTTTTACGCGTCCGATGTGTTGAAAGACCAAGGGGGAAAAGTTGAACACATTTTACGCGTCACAAGTGTTCTAAAATCCAGAGGGAAACCCATTTAAAACTGAACACATACTGTTCTGAAAGTAAACACATAGTGTTCTGATAGAAGAAAGACGACTAAGAGTGTTCAAAATCTGTTTCAAAATAGTGTTCTAAAATGGCGTATTTGGTGTTCTAAAAGCGGACGCTTGGTTTACAGTGTAACCAGTTGCTTACCGCCGCAGACAAGCAATTTTGAAGCAACAGATGAACAATTTCTCGGCGACGAGCGATTTTCTGTTGTCGAATATCAAACATGTTTGATATTTGGCAACGAGAAGCAACTCGGAGCAACAGCAGGCAACTATTGTTGCCCGTTGGCGCAGACGAGCGATTTTTTCTTTCAACGACCAGCGATTTCACTGTTGCCTGAAAGTTGCTCGAAAAAGTTGCCCGTCTGCGCCTGGCTTAATACACGAATAGAAGGTCGAAAATATACTGGACTTCGTTTCGGCAGTTTAATACCAGACTCTACTGAGCTTGTTTGGCTCTCAATATTCTCGAAACCGTTAAATAAACACATAAGAAACGCTCCTTACGTCACCCTCTCATTTTTGCCGGTGCAGGTGGTGTTTTTCAGAAAATCCAGTACAATGTATTTTCTAGTAAGTCCTACTATTAATGGAAATAACTACCCTGTAAATACTTTCATGGTAAATGTATCTTTAAATTTACCAATGGTTGCAATAAAGTCGCATTATTTTATGTTTCGTGAAACATAACTAAACATTTGGTAAGTTTCTGAAAAAGGGTCCAAATCGGCACAACCGATGTTTAACAGGTAAATGACATATTATCTTATCGATAGAAAACCGCTTACGACAATAGGTAAAGCATATTTATGTTACCAAGAAATCAGAGATTGTGGAAACATAATTCAGAGCAAACTATTACGATTGTTTACTTTGTCTTGCTTAAAAATCGATGTTTGATTTTTTGAAAAACTTAACTCTCTCTCTCTCTCTCTCTCTCCCTCTCTCTCCCCACACACCACCACCGCCTTATTCAGTAAAATAATGGTAAAAAATGATTTATTACATTTTAAATTTAGCATAGGCTGCATTATATAAAGTTTTATTTTTTTTTCCGTTAGACATACGTAAACAAATAAAAATTGATAAGTTTCGGTAAAAAAAATAGAGTCCAGCCTATCTTTACGTCAAATAGATAAATGACATATTATATTATCTATAGAGACTATACCGCTTACGACAATAGGTAAAACATGCTTACGTTACCAAGAAATCAGAGATTGTGGAATTCTTAGACGTAAATACAAACAAATCTGGGAGCATTATACGTGAAGATAATTTAAATATTCTTCACACGATTATTACACTCGTGTTTCAAGTCGTATAATGAACAGGCATAGATCAAAATCTTATCTAAATAATACTTTAAAAAGGGAATGACGATAAAACTTAGTTATGATATGTATGCAATGTTTTAAAAAAGAAGATTTATGAGTAGAAAAAAGATGTGTGCGTATGTGTGTGGGTGTATTGAGTAGTGTTCGGATATTCGAACAAGAATACTATTCGAATATTCGACGGGTCTTGAAATTTGTATTCGAATATTTTCAATTTTTAATATAAATATATTTAAAGTGGTTTATATTCAATTTATTATAATTTCTACGTGAAATTTCTGTTGACATGTGACACGATTATATTTTAGCAATAATTGCCAGTGGATCTTTTACGTAAACTGCCAATTTGTACACAAGACCTCGGCCTTCCATGACATCGCATTAAGTAGACGCGGACCTCAACCATACTCCAGTCATCTGCCATCGCCGTCAGATGCTCTTTTAGTCTATCCGAGGTATGTGAACCTGGACATGATTTCACTTCCAGAGTCTTAGCCATCATCTCCCAATCTGGTGATACAAAATGAGCGGTTAAATTAATACAAGACTCATTTTGTTCATCTGATGTCCATACATCTGTGGTCACAGGGCCAACTTCTGACTTGGGTCATTCCTGACTTGACGTTCGTCGGAACGAACGGCATCATAGATTTCTTCCATTCTTTTTTTGAGTGTTTTACTTGACCGCAAATTGTGACATGGATTCAGGGCTTCTACCAATTCCCGAAAATGGTCATTGTCAATAAGAGAGAGGGGCTGATAATGCTTTGCTACAAACTTGATCAATTTCTCAGTGATGTTTTTTGCTGCACTGAATCTTGTCATACTTCTTGCTGTTGCCTGGAGAACTTGTGTAGAACATTTTAATTGGCTGAATCTTGCCTGACCCCACGTCCCGTGCAGAGGAAGAATCTGGAGCTACGTAGCCATGTTTCAACTTCATGTGGTTCCAAAGATTAGCCTTGATGTGATATTAGTCAAAACCATGGAGGTACATATATTGTCAATATATACTAGTGTTCATTAAGACAATGGTACCACCACTATCCGCTTGTTCTATAACAATTTCTGCATTATTTTTCAATTGATTATGTCCCGTTTTTTCTACTAATATTTTTAGTATTTTTTTGCTTGTGTAGAGGGACGTTTTCAACATTGTTGCAGAAATCTTCGCGATGTTGGTTTCTAGGCTACCTTTTCTCTGTTTGAAAGTGGATTTATTGCGTGCAATACTACCATCCTGTATTTGGTCTTTCCTGTCATATTCGTCCTCATCAGTATACGGCTCCGTGTATTTCAGTTTAAATTTGATATGTTGCGTGAGTGGTGGCAATTCAAACTGAACCTCCCAGTAATAGGAGGGGCAACAGACCTCACGTGAACAAATTTAGACATTTTGTTAGAACCAAATATATCGGTAGCGATGTTTATTGGTGCTGTTTACTTTAATTGTTTGGTGACCGATTGCCCATTGTTGGTCATTGGCAACTTGAAGGAAAAAATTTAGTTAGTGGTTAACATTTTCGACTTTCCCTTTCTCCAAAATCTCTCAACGAATTTGAACAAAGTTGAATTTATAATATTAATGTTTTGTGCTTTTATGGTGTCAAACCCCATTTTAAGCCTTATCGTGGAAAATATGGATTTAGAATCCGGAAGATGCCACCCTGGCACCCTTGCGAAAATTAAAATATTCAAGATGGCCGTCATGAGGCATTTTCTGGTTATAAAGCGGGCTAAAATATGTGACAGTTTCTCTCGGACCTCAGTTTGACGATGGTTTCTATAAGAATTCGACCCACTGAATCCAATGAGCAATGTGATGGCTAATTCCTCAAGGGGCGAAATTTAAAATGGAGGCTTGTTTTGGCAGGAAACTTATGAAGTTCCCTAAAAAGGTGTGTAATATATTGAAATATAGGTTTTTGGTGAATTATATCATCTTCAATATGTGTAGTTTCAGAATCTGGATGATGCCACCTTGACAAAATTAGAATATTCAAGATGGCCGTCATGGGGCATTTTCTTGTTATTTACTTTAATTTAGTGGGGTAAAAATCAGGACTAGTCTCAATCATCTGTTATGTTTGGGTTTTCTCTGATGGATAATTAGTAATCAGAACATCCTGGATTGATAATAATATAGCCTGACATTTCTGCAAGTGTACATGCTGCCTCAGATTCATACAAGGGGAACAACCCTAGTGAACATGTACATTAGGAATCCGACTACATAATTGTTCAAATACTTCATGTACATGCAAATAAAATAAATGTAATATACAGAAATATTGATGCAAAATAAAATAAAGTCTTTGCGTAACTGTTCTGTTTGTTGTATAGTTTTTATACGCCCACACGGAAATGTGGACGTATATTGCCGTCGCCCCTGTCCACCCGTCTGTCGGTCCGTCGTCCACAATTTCTTGTGAACGCTCTAACGCCAAAAGTTATCATCCGATTTTTAAAATTGATATAAATTATGTCGTTAACTTCCTGAATTATGGCCCCTGATTGTACGAAAAATCACGTTTTTAGCTTGTGGTCCCTCTAGAAGTCACAATTATTATCCAATTTAATAAAACGTTCGAATATATCACCGTTACACCGTAATGTTTGTTGGGTCCGAATTTCGAGAAAATCGGGCCAAAACTGCCGGACAAAATGGTCGCCCCTCGTACGCAAATAGTTTAAACATCTGGTAAATCAAGGTTGTGGGCCCTCTAGAGTTCACAATTTTGATCCGATTTCGATGAAACTTGTGGTCCCTCTAGAGGTCACAATTATTATTCGATTTAAAAAAACTGTTCGAATATATCAACATTACACTGTAATTTTGTTTGAGTTTGAATTTCATGAAAATCGGACCAAAACTGCCGGACAAAATGCCCGCCCCTCGTACGCAAACAGTGTAAACATCTGGTATATCAAAGTTGTGGTCCCTCTAAAGGATACAATTTTGATGAAACTTGAAATGCATGTTTATAACCCAAAGATCTCGGTTCCTCTCAACATATGCCCAGTAAAGGTTTATGATCTGTAAATATTTTGAGATTTTTGGCACCATAAACATATAAATGATAATTTCTCGTTCAGTTTGTGAGTACTGAGATTCTACATCTGATAATGCACGGCTTCCACAACTTATAATTTTACCATTCTGCACTAACAAAGCTCATAAACCGCGGAGGCTAGCATCAACTAAAACTTTTGTATTTTTCGAAGGGTCAAAATAGTTCATCACATAAGCATCTGATAA